AGGGGTTGGGGTGGGGGGGCACCTGCGTGCTCCCTGGTGGACCCAGGAGTGGACTGGAAGTGCTTCTGGTCCACCTCTGGGTCTGCTGCTGACCACGCTGGGGGACACCCCCCTCCCCCCCGCGTGCTCCCATGGGATGCTCCATCTGCCCCAGCCTCTCAGCATTCAGGATGAATACCATTCATCCTGGTACCTTGAGATACGTAGAAAAACCACTTAAAGCTGTGTCTATGTCTGAATCATTGAATCTTTCCGAATCTCTCCAGATCTATTCAGAGGGTTCCAATTCTATTCAGAGAGATTAAAGGGTTTTGTGATTCGATTTGGATTCGGCCACTGAATTGGGCCGAAGCTTTGCACAGCCCTAGTAGTAATCAATGGCTCGATGTCTAGTTGGCAGCCAGTATCAAGTAGAGTGCCCCAGGGGTCAGTCTTGGGGCTGATATTGCTTCTGTAAGATAAATATATATTTTTCAGATGTACCAAATGTCATTCAGTTGAAGAAAGTATTAAGACTTTATTAAGTAGAGTCAAATGGAACAAATTTCAAAATGTTTGCTGATTGATTTCTGATAAGTTATATTAATTCTTATTTTAAGAAAGCATATCGCTAGTTCTACCAGGTGTGATGATGAAGTCTGAGTGACAAAGCAGCACTCTTTGAATTAGAAGCCACAGCAAGCGGTTATATGGCTCATCTTATTTCTCACCTTGCACACGAAAGGGACAACATGTCAAGCTTGATAGACCTACAGTTTGACCTCACTCTCAATTTGCAGTGACACAATGCAAGATAAAAATAAAGTGAGTTGTGAACCACCTGCATACCAGTTAATGTTCTAGATTCTATTGTATCAGAATGGAAAGGTACCAATTGATGGAACTGCCCAGGAGAGACTTGCACCAATGTATACTAATAAATGCGGTGATATGCTGAAGCTCAGGTTTTCTTACCTGTTACAGGTTTTCTTACTCATGTTGCTCATGGAAAAATTTCATATGTTTCATAGACATTTGGGCTGGAAGGGACCCTGGAGGATCATCGAGTCCAGCCCCCTGCCCCAGGGGCAGGAAGTCAGCAGGGATCATAGGATCCCAGCAAGATAAGCATCCAAATGTGTCTTGAAGGTGTTCAAAGTGGGTGCTTGAACCGCCTCCGGTGGCAGTCTATTCCAAACCTTGGGGGCTCGGACAGTGAAGAAGTTGTTTCTCACGTCCAGCCTGAATTGATCACAGTGGAGTTTGTGACTGTTCGATCTTGTCATCCCTTGGGGGGGGCTCTGGTGAACAGACGTTCCCCCAGATCCCGATGAGCACCCCTGATAAGCTTACAGGTGGGCACCAGATCACCCCTGAGCCTGGGCTTTTCCAGGCTGAATAGCCCCATGGCTCTCAGCGTCTCATCATAAGGTCTGTTTTCCTGACCTCTGATCATGCACGTGGCTCTCCTCTGCACCCTCTCAAGCTTCTCTACATCCTTTTTGAATTGTGGACCCCAAAACTGGGCGCAGTACTCCAGCTGCGGCCTCACCAAGGCAGAGTACAGCGGGAAAATGACGTCCCGGGATTTGCTTGAGACGCATCTATGGATGCAGGCTGCTATGGATGCACACTGAAGGCTCATGTTCATCTTGTGGTCAACCATGACCCCCGTGCCCCTTTCATCTGTAGTGCTAACCAGCGTAGCACTACCAAGCCTATAAGCACGCTGCAGATTTTTTTTCTCCCAAGGTGGAGAACCTTGCATTTTTCGGTGTTGAACACCATCAGGTTCTTGTCCACTCATTTCATGAGTCTGTCCACATCCGCCTGGATCACTCTCCTGTCTTCGGGTGTGAATGCTTTACCCCAGAGTTTGGTGGTGTTGGTGAACTTGGCCAGTCCGTTTCTGACACTGATGTCCACATCATTGATGAAGATGTTAAATAGTATAGGCCCTAGGACAGAGCCTTGAGGGACCCCACTGGTCACAGCGCACCACGATGATTGGCTCCTGTCAACCACCACCCTCTGGGTCCTACTGCGGAGCCAGTTTCCCAGCCAGCAGATCGTGGTGAATTGTTTAAATCTGCTCTGATTGCAGGAAAAATATCGTGACAAATTCTTTCCTGCTATTATTACCAAACTAAATTGAAGCTGAATGACCATTACCAGGATCCATACATTCCTTAACTGATGTGGCAATTTTTAGGTAGGAGGTTACAGGCTGCAGAGATTTTTTAGGAAGATACTTATTTACTTTAGAGAGAAGTTACAGGTAGTTAGCCATGTTAGTCTGAAGTCAGACAGAAGGCATGGCAAGATTTCACCTTAGGGCCCCTCTAACACATCCAGGTAAAAGTGCAATGGGATCTAAAGTGTGATCCATGCAGTCATGCCTTCTGCCATGCCATATGTGCATGGCAGGAGGTGAGATTGTGGGATCTAGCATCAGATTGACTTTTATTAGTAGATGTTAAGGATTGTAAATCCAAAAAAAGATGACAAAGCCGATAGGGAAATACAGAACGCCTGGGCGAGGGACTAACAATAGAAGGATGGGGGTGAGGTTGGGAACGCAACTAGGTTACATGCGATACAAAGTTAGCCAACTAAGCCCGGGGGTAAGGGGAGAGGGGAGTGGGGAAGGGGAGGGGGGTGGTTTCGCGACGCTGAGAGAAAAAGAGGATAGAAACACACATACCGGTGACAATGGTCCGCAATGGTGGAAGAAGTGGTCCGAGGAAAAAAGTGTCTCAGTCTAGATATACACCTTATTGCCCATACAGGGGAGCTTGGGATCACCATCCTGGGCTTCCCCTGCACTGGCAAATATCAAGCTCCTGCAGCTGAGTGTGCAGCAGCTGGTGGGACCCTTGATCCTGGCAGTACCCCATAGCTTCTGGGACTGAGTCCTGCAGCTGGCGGGACTCTCGGCCCTGACTCTGTTTGGAGCGCAGTTGCTCAGCCGAGGCAGCTGTGGGACTCCTAGTCCTGGCTGTGTGGATGCACCCCTGTAATTGGGAGCTCCATCAGCTGACTGGGCTCCTGGCCACAGGGGAAGACCCTGCTACTTATGCATGTTTAAAGCTGGATGGAAATGAACTATAATTTTATTACCTATTTTCTTACTTTATAGCTTGATGGACCTTTTTATGGCATGGTTAATTTTCATGTGTAACTGGTCTAAACTAATCATGCCATTAACTGGTTAATTGCGTAATACATGTAACATGTAGAGGGGGTGCTGACTAACTGGTAATCTCTGTGTTTTCTCTAAAAAGAAGTTAAATATCGACTTGAAAAGTTGGAGGTAAAGAATGCTGAAAGAAGTGAACCCTGTTTTGAAGTAATTTGTGGAAAAGGAAACAGTGAAGCCTATGCTCTATTTCTTACCGCCCATCATTTTTTCTCATGCAGAATGATTACTACTCTATAGTGCACTTCTTACCTCCAATCTCCATACACGGTTTTAATCAGTTTTCCAAAAGGTGTAACATTTTCACTGTTGGTGCTTTCCTTTTTGTTCCTTTTCGGTGCAGCTGTTTGTTATTGCCAGATTTCAAGTATCCTCATTCCATTCGTGAACAGCATGCAGTTATCAAGCTCTGTAGATTTTGAATTGGTTGGTCTGAACAAGCTTTGTGAAAATACAACACAGTGATGTACCCTAACCTCACTTAATAAATACTTTAAATATTTTTATCAATCTAGAAATGAGAGTTCTTCATATTGGAGAAATCTTTAAAAAAATAAAATATAGTTAAAAAGGCTGTATGCTGAAGACCCAATCAGTAGCTTAAACAAAAAGGAAAAAGCACGAAAATTGGGGTTATTTTGACTTTGTTTTTTTGCCGTTGTCACTTAAAATGCATTTTAATTTTTGTTAAATTTGCAATTCAAGAAATTAAGACTTTACGCAACTCATGTTTATCAGTCTTAGTCTTTTACAAACAAAAACTCTTCCCACTACCTACCTATGCCCCTCCTTTTTTGAGGTAGCTGAGGCAGAAATGGCTTCCTCTTTGGGCACTTCAGGAAAGGGAAGCTGGATACTGAGGGACTTTTTCTTAGCAAAGCATGTTTAAATCTAAATTACTTGGCTTGCCACTTTTGTTTGCTTGTTTTGTTTTAATTTTATTTTAACTTATGGATTTACAGTAGTTGAAAGTAGCTTGACATTATTTTCTTTCAGTTTTAGCTTTCCTTTACAGACTATTTGTTTTATCTAGGACAGTAGTCTTTTTAGATTCAGGGCATGCCTCCACAACCCTTTAATTTGTTAGCATCCCAGTTGAGAAACAGTATTTGTACTGGCTTTAGCTTACCTCAGAGGTTCTCAAGTGAAGGGCTGTTGCCATCGCCACAGGCAGGTGGAAGTGCCATGTGTGCCTCGTGCACAGCCCCGCATGCCTCTGTTTCTGGGAAGAACATGGGGGAGGGGAGGGTCAGACTAGGAAAGACTGTGGCAGGATTGGGGTGCTTCTGCCTGCTTTAGGTTTATCAGATAACCCTAATGCAGGTAGGAGCGCACACTCATGCTGCAGCTCCCCCTGAACTGGCTGTGCATAAGGCTCATGGGGCAGCTCCACATAGTTGTGGTGACACCTGTGCTGTGGTGTCACTGAAAGGGTCTTGTGCAGGGATGGACAATTCTTTGAACTGGAGGACTTAAAAATAAATATATTTATTACAAAAGGCATAAACAGAAGGTCTGATATAGAAATAGAGATATAGCAAAGATTCTGTAAATGTTTTCATCTGGCATAATGTACATATATCATATGCAATGTTTTAGGATTGTATTGTTCAAGGAAGGGGCTAATTTTTGGCTGCATCTTAAAATATTCTTTTGAATTTATCTCCAGTTGTTAATGGCCCTATAAAATGAATTTTATTCCATTAATGTGGAAATTTGGCATGGGTAATTGTGTTTATTTTATCTCTGTGATTATCATAAAATGTAGCTGTTTTTCAGAAAGATGTTATTACATTTTTGTTTGCATTTTTCTTTTGTTTAGGATGGATTAGATGCCTTGGTATATGATTTGGATTTTCCTGCCTTAAGAAAAAACAAAAATATTGACAACTTCTTAAACAGATGTAAGTACTTGATATTTCTATAGCCTTTTCCACTTCGTAGCTGGAGGGAGCTGCAAGAGACTTAAACAATTCCTTTCCTCTCTCTCTTTTCCACACCCAGAAACTGAGCATACTGCATGCCCAGAAGGAAGGAATTAGGTTCTGGTCTACAGATGAGAATTTTAAATATTAACAATAGTATTTATTAAATGCGGTTATAACATGACTGAGGTCCCAGGGGTGGCTGTGATGCCCCCTGGTGGCCATGCAGTTCATGCCCCGCTCTGCCTATCTGGGTATTCTCCCTTTTCTCCTTCCTGCCATGCCTCAATTGGAATAATTTGATTACTGAAAAGGAGGTTGCCCCGAGTCCTACAGTGAGCCCTCTTTGGTTATGTATCCAGTGGGTCCCTCTTGGACCCCACTGGTCAGAATCTAGCTGCTGTTAAGTGGGTCCTCCTGGCCTCCAAGGTACCTGATGCCTTAGGGGCTATTTGTGACCTCCAGCTGCTCCCATAGTTATACCTGTCTCTCTCAGATGTTACTCCAGATTCATGCACCAGCTTGTACGGGCTTCAGCCCTCATAGCTTCATCCTGCTAGTTACTCCTTTGCTGTAGATTGCCAGCCTAGGCCCACTTCCTCTGGCCTGGCTTCTGATTCTTAGCCTTGTCCAGCCCTTGGCTCACTTAGCTTGGGCCCTTGGCCCCTGGCCCTGTTCCCTCTTTTCTGGGCCTCTGCCCCTTTTGGGCTCTGACCCTTAGCTGTCTTGGCCTCAGGCTACCTCTGCTGCCTGTGTAGTTTTAAGTCTTGGCTCTTTTGGCCTTTGCCTGCTTGTTGTGAGCCCTAGCCCTCTGGTCCTTGACCCTGAGCCAGGCTGCTTGTCTCTTCAGCCCTTAGTCCTGTTCTGACTCTGGGCTAGGGTGCCTAATGCTGAGTGCCCCACCAGGCACCTCTCCATGGCCTCCAGATCTTCCCTGTAGCCATAACCTGGTCATCTGGTATAAACTTAAATGGAAGCATATATACACTGGCTATAACCAAACTCTAAGCCCTCTGGCTGTATAACAAACCTCATTGACTTGGGCCAGAGCTCTTTGCAAGCCCTAGTTCCTTACTTGCCACTCCCAGGTATAACAGGATCCTGGCCAGATTCAGCTACAGCCCTCTTTCTGAAGAGTTCTTTCCCCTGCAGCTTGCTGGGCCAGACTGACTGCTTTGGCTTGGGCCCTGGGCTTATGTCTTTCAAGCCCTGCCCACTTCTGGTCAGGTGGCTTGCTGGCCCTGCAAAGCTGTGTCTATTTAATCTTCTGGGTTGTTGGTCTAGCTCAGGGGCAGGCAATTATTTGGGCCCATGGGCCACAGGCAGTTCTGGGGAGTTGCTACATGTCGGTCAGCAGCCTCCCCTTTGTTCCCCCCAAACAGCCCAGAGCTCACTTGCCCTGTGGCTCCTCTCTGCCAACAGTGCACAGCCCCATATCTGACCCCAGCCCACCCCGCACTTGCTCAGGATTTCGCCCGGCTGGAGCAGACCAGCCAGAACCTGCATAAATTCCTAGATTCATAGATGTAGGGTCAGAAGGGACCTAAGTAGATCATCAAGTCCGACCCCCTGCCCTGGGCAGGAGAGAGTACTGGGCTCTCATGACCCCAGCTAGTTAATTATCAAGCCTCCTCTTAAAGACCCTCAAGTTAGGAGCTAGCACCACTTCCCTTGCAAGTTGGTTCCAGATCCAAGCTGCCTTGACTGCGAAGTAGTGCCTTCTAATGTCCAGCCTGAAATGCGCAGCCCCAAGCCTGGCCCACCCCATGCCTGCTCTGGGCCATCTGCCTGCATTTTGAGCAGTGGCAGCAGCTGGCAGAAGCTGCTGCTGGGCACGGAGGAAAAGCGGCCCCTCCCCATCACCACTGCAAGGCCTTTCTTGCTGCAGCCACCTGCAGCTCCTCTCTGCTGCTGTCACTGCTGTCTCCAGGCTGTCCAGTGGCAGTGCAGAGGAACTGCAGGGCAGCTTGGGCATGGGCTCTGGGTGGCTGCAGCAAGAAGGGCGCGGCAGTAGCAAAAGGGAGGGGTCACCTTTCCCTCATGCTGAGCAGCAGCTTCTGCTCAGCTGCCATCATTGCTACTGCTGCTCAGTCTGGAGTGGGTATGGGGCGGGTCTGTCATGGGTTCCAGCATATCCGGAGCGGGTGCAGGGCGAGCCAGTGTTGGGCCTGTACACGTGGGTCCCTGCCAGTACCATGAGGCTGGGGCCAGCAGCGGCAGTAGCTGGATGGAGCAACTGCTGCCTGGGCTGCTTAGAAAGGCATTCCAGCTGCGAAGCTGCCCCAGCCCCACTGCTTGCCCAGGGGACGGCTGGACAGCACTGGGCTAGGTGGGACCTGGGGACCTGCCATGGGGTTGGACAGTCTCTCTCTGCAGGCTGGATCCAGCCCATGGTCTAGCTGCTGCAGCAGTGCCTCTGCCCACCCCTGGTCTAGCTGCTGCAGCAGTGCCTCTGCCACCCATGCAGATCTCTGAGCCCTGGCTGCCCATTCCCCTGCAGTCAGTTCATCAAGGCAGTGGTTCCCTGCATCTGGGGGACTCTCTGCAGTTGCTTTCTCCCTAAAGTAATGTGGAGGCCCTGGCTCACTCTTACAGCTGTGCAGTTAATAAGTAGGCCATTTGTGAGATAAATAAAGCCATCTCTCTAAACCAAACTTCCAACTTCCCATTTATTACGTTGTTAATATTTGAATTCTCCCCCCAACCCCTCCCATCAGACCATCATAAACTTAACTAATAAAATTTCCAAAATGAGAACATATAACTTTGATAAGCTACAATAGAGTCTACATTAGTAGGTTATTGATGCATTGTTTATATAGATTAATAATGTAAAAAGTCTCTTGCTTTTTAACTCTAAGAAGAGTGCAGGTAGTCTTCATCTTGCTGTTGGTATATTCTTCATGTGTCTAGTGTTAACTGGAGATGTTTTCTTCACCGTTTTGCTGATTGCACTGGTTTATTTTTTCCTTTGGGTGGACAGAAAAGAAGTAAATGAAATTAAGCAAATTTTCATCAAGAATACAAAAAAGGTTGAGTACTGAAAAGGGGGTACTAAAACAACAAAAAGAATATAAACTAATATTAAAATGTAATGTATCTTTGGTACTTGAATGACACCTCTATATGATTTGATTGTAGTGCTGCAGGTCAGTCTTGGCATCTGCTGTGTTTTGGGGAAAAAAAACTTTAAAGTGTAAATTCTTAACTTATCGTGACCTTTTTACAGCTTTTACAACAAATAGCTAGATTTCCATCTTTATCAGTAAAACCGGTTTGGTTTTTTTTGGATGGGGGTGAAGTTGTTTGACAGGAGTCATGGTTCTTATAACTTTCACATTTGAAAATGTTTAATTTTAAACCTTTAATTTATTTTGCTTAGGCAGAAGCCAGACATGATAATGGACAGTTAAAGCAGTTCTGCTAAGATGCTTGCAAGCTGTCAAATTAAATCTTGGGCTATAGAGGAACTCAAGAGAGCTCAAGTACTATAAATTTGGATAACGGCTTTTCACAGGGTAACAAGAGGTTGTGAGCTCTGGATTAGCTGTTACTGTGAAGTGAATTGGCAAGCATTTGGACATAATATTTTGAAATATTTTAAACCATTAGTTAAATATTGTTTACATTATTAAATAAGCAGCAGTTTGATTAAAATTATATAATTCATGTCTTAATTATACTGTAAACTTCGATTTTGCTTTTCCTCAGTGTGTATAGTCCATTGCTTCTCAAATAGTTTTAACATAAACAGACTACTAGCCCTAATAATGAATTTAAAGATTTTGTGGTATAAAGAGTTCCTATTAGATTTAGTTGAGGATTTGTTTTTATGTAGACTGGTTGCTGAGCTGCTCAAGATAAAGTGTTCTGTTTAACTTCCTACAGTTTTTAAATAATGCTTGAGTTAGTATAACCTTGTTACCATGCACATATTGTATACTCTGTTTTCACCACACTTCCTTTGAGAGCACTTTATTAGAGTGTTGGAAAAGAAAATCTCTTTATTGGAGAAGAAAATCTTAGTCAAATAAGACATTGCAGCAAATACTGATAATGTAATTTTAATTATAAAATGTGCTCACCACCTGCCCCCTTCTGTATTTGTAAGAAGAAAAAGAAATAATTACATTTGAAATCTTAATTAAAGAATCAACACACATATGCATAAAATATAACCTTAAGTAACATGAAGGTGAAGGGAAGTGTAACTAAGGCAAAGGAATTCACAATTTTAAAACATTGCAGTGCACTTGGGTGATCTTCAGAGCAAGTAGTGAATTTAAGGGTACAGTTCTGGTTTGGCTCATAATGGCTTTTTCTAGATAGGGGGAAATTATAACTGTTCCTTACTCTTTCCTGTAGAAAACATTTACAAATTTGTGCAGTGTTCTTTAATTCAAACATGATACTATTATTGTACAACCCTAAAATGAAGTTATTGACTAGAAAAAAAAATGAAGCTCGTTTACTAACCTTAGCAGTTCATGCTTAGAGAAGTGCAAAAAAAATTAGGCTTCAAAAAATTGACAATTGTAACAAAGCTAAATTATCTACCAGTACATGGTTTCTTTTGGCATTTTTATTTCAAATGTGTGCGTGGCTTCTGCAAATAGGAAATGCATCTTGAGATAAAATGAAAAAGATGATTCCTTAAATTTGTTTGCCCAAGTAAACTCAAATACTTTATATAAGTATTTGAGGGCAGCATTATCCTGTGGGTATGTATGTACTTTACTATGTGAAGTGGGCTACTGGTCAGCTAAGGATCACTTTTTCTGATGCTGGAAAGCCACTAAGCTGGAACTACAGTTGTCTTCCAGTTTCATTAATGTCCAGGGTGCTCAGGCAGGACTCTGTCAAAATGACCAAGACAATTTTGGTACCAGCACATGAAGAGTCTCTCTATCAATGGCCTGTAGTTTTCTTCCCACTCAGAGTTAATATTGCAGAGAAACAATCTAATCTGCCATTTAGGTATCATGGTGTAGATGCTAGCTGACTGACCTCAGTAGACAGACAGATTCCATTAACACAAACTTTTTGGTAGCAATAAAATTGATCTTGGAAGGTTAATGTCCTCAAGAAAGAAGACGGCTTACTTTGGTAGAAGGTTAGGCACAGGCTTGTAAGATTTATATCACGCTAACAAGTCAGTTTCCTTGGTCAGGATAATCAGTACCCTCTGTGCTTCTCCGCTGTTGAGGATGTCATAGTCTGTGGATGTTCTTGTATAGACACAGAAATTAATCCAACACAGGGAATTTTAACAGAGCTAGAAAGAAGAATTAGTATAAACTGGTTAAGTGTCAGGCAACTTGCTGTGCTATGGATTTATGGCAGGGGCAGGCAATTATTTTGGGTGGAGGGCCACTTACTGAGTTTTCGCAAGCCATCAAGGGCCGCATAACAGGCAGCCAGGGGTAGATAACTATTAATTTTCTAATTTTTTTAGGGGCCACATGGGCTGGATAGAATGGCCTGGCGGGCTGCATTTTGCCCACCCCTGATTTATGGCCTTTTCTCCATGAATAAACTGTTATGTCATCATCATGATAGAAAACATGAGCCTCTGTCAACAACTTAAGGTGTCAGGATAATAGTCTCAGCAAATGGAAGCTCGTTGTTGATAAACTAAGTGGAGCAAAATATCCAGCCCCTGAACTTTGTATTCAGGAATGGAGAGACATTTAAGACTCATTGTTTTCAGAAAGGCATAAGCTTTCATAAGTTACAGCTTCCCCTGTAGAGAGCAGGGGGACTAAATAAAAAGGAATGAAGTAATTTAAATACAATGAGAGAAAAGCTATGGTTAAGTAGAAAAAAGTGAGATTAGGAGGAGCAGTCTTCTTCCAGAAGTGTTTTCAGTTTCTCTTGGGAAAAATTATTCCCATCACCTGCAACATCTGCAAGAATCCCTCCTGTTCTATCACGAGAAAAAAACAAGGATTCCATTTTTACTTTCTTTTTTGATTGCAGGGAAAATTATAGAACAATTCTTCCATTGCCAAGAACTCTGGATTTCCTCTGGGTTTCTCTTGCAAATCGTGGTTGCACACCTAGCACGTGTATCCATAAAAAGATCTCGAGGCTCCCCATAGTGCTATGGCACCTTGGTTGAGAATCACTGTCTTAGACTTAGACTGGACATTAGGAAGAACTTCTTCACAGTTAGTTAGACTGGACATTAGGAAGAACTTCTTTACTGCTAGAGTGGCCAAGGTCTGGAATGGGTTCCCAAGGGAGGTGGTGCTCTCCCCTAGCCTGGGGGTCTTTAAGAGGAGGCTGGATATGCATCTAGCTGGGGTCATCTAGACCCAGCCCTCTTTCCTGCTTATGCAGGGGGTCGGACTCGATGATCTATTGAGGTCCCTTCCGACCCTAACATCTATGACTCTAGACCAAAGAAGAGTAAGCAAAGGAATCACATCCATATATTAAACAGCTTTTAATAGTTCTCGCTATTAACAGACATAAATCATACTTGCAATTCTGTAGTTCTTAGATTGTAGTTCATTAGACTCAATTTAATGCATTGTTTCTTCTTGTAAATCATGTTTACATTAGAAAATCAAGGCAAAAGAATATATAAATATAACTGCTTGAACCAATGTGTGTTATTATAGGAGTTCTAATCAACTTCTTACTGAAATTTGCTTACATTCTTCCTTTGCTTTACCTGGTTCATGTTGATGTGAAACATAATTTCTGTATGTTGCTTTTCCCAGATGGCATATAGTCTAAGTAGGCATGTAATAATCATTTGCCATCAGTCTATCCAGTCCTTTAAAAATCTAGATTACAGTAATCACACGTTCTTCTTCCACAGTACTTCTTAAACCAGAATGGAACATTTACAATACTATTTTGAAACAAAATGGGATTAATGTTAATGGTTTATTAAAATGGGGCTTCGAGTTGCTTTTTTCATGTAGAAATACTAAAATGTGAAGTTTTTCCATGTAATCTCATGCTAGTATTGTCCGATATGGATTAAAATAGCCATCTTTAATCTATGACCAAATTTGGAATTGGAATATCTGACCACTGGGAGTTTTATAAATTATTGTAGTTTATAGAACGACAGATTTATATAAATAATTACAGTGATTCCCACCGCATGTTTTAAATTAAAATTACTTTTTTTCAAGTATATTAAATACTTTGTTTAGTTTAGCGTTTTTTAATTGCTTAAATATATCTTACTTGTATATTGCATTAATTTCTCAAATCTATTGCATGGTCTTTTAAAGATAACCTTTTATGTTCTCTGTACAAACAGGTTACTCTTGATGCAGAGTTTCTGCAAATTTTCAGATAGTTAAGTTCTAAATGAGAATTTTCCCTTGTTCGATCCTGCTGTGAAGTTGTTGTGGTTTGTTTGACGTTTCGTAGTAACCATAATGATGAGAGCGAAATCACAGTTTCAACATGGAGATCTTATTAAGAAAACTGGTTGTGACAGAAGGCTTGCTCCTTCCCAGTTTTAAATAAGCAGACGTTGCAAGACTAGTTACCCAAATCAATTTAAATGCAACTGATCCATATTATCCAATATACTGTATTTGAAAAAGATATTTTCCAGAAAAAAACAAAGTTCCTTTCTAAAGTTTCTAAGCATGTAGCTCTGCAGTATCCTGTATATAAAAATAACGAAGGTACCAGTGAATTGTTCAACGTGTTATTCTATGCAGTTTTTTATAAATTATTTTTTTTTATACAGATAAAGACACAGTAAATAAAATGAGAGATTTGCGTATGAAAGCTGAAGATTATGAAGTGGTGAAGGTGATTGGTAGAGGTGCATTTGGGGAAGTTCAACTGGTAGGTTATATATCAGTGTACATATAGGATTGGGTTTTATTTAAAGCTGTTCAGTGCTACTTATATTTACTTTTCAATACACAATTTGAGAGGCAAAAGTAACTTCGTGCTCAATGGATTGTAAGAAAGTAATGCTTTTTTATGAGAGAGTATGTTTTCCAGGATCCTGTATTTTAGTATACTTGTGCACAAATCCAAACCCTGTCAACATTCAAAATAGGGCTGAATGTTCATTTTCTTTGTTAAGTGATGTTAGTCCTTGCCTGTGTAACTCTGGGACTTTGAAAGGCAAATCTTTAGGCTTGTCATGAGTTTAGACCAGTTAAGGAGCTGCCCACATGGTTTGAAGACGGAATTTGCTTCAGTAACTTGTGGGATGAAGTGGACAGGAGGATGAGTTAGCAGCTTGGCTGGCTCATTGCTTTGAGTAATTAATGGAAATAATCTAAAATACAAGAGTATATGTGTATACTTCTGAGCTCTTCAAAATATTTAAAGTTTTATTTTTCAATTATTTTACAGAAAATAATTGATTCAAATCAAGTGTGCTCAATCTATGGCCTGCAGGCCAGATCTGGCCCATGGCACACGTCATCTGGCCCACGGGGCTCTCCTAGGTCTGGAAATGTTGGCATTGGGGGATTGGTGGCACTGCTCCCCTGCTATCAAATTTCCAGACCTGTGAGGAGTCCTGGACCCTGTGCCTCAGAACTAATACCCAATCCTGGTGTGTGGGGGAGGTAGTGCTGGGACCCAATCTCAGCAAATGGGGGCAGTGCTAGTGCATGGGGGGAGGAGGAGGAGGGGGTACTAGACCCACAGAGAATGGTAGGGGCCACCACTAGGTTCAAATAATACTGTAACCATTGTGTACGTGGACTTTGCTTTTCATATTCTTACCAAATGTTGATCCAATCTTAGGACTGATGTTTGCATTGTAGTTTAAAAAGTGCAACTTTTGCATAATTCAGGTCAGAAGGGTAACTTATTTTTTCCAAAGAAGAACACAAACTTATGAAAAAATTGAATAAATTGAAAATGATCAAAGTAGAAAAATTTAGCAACTTCTATAGATTTTTACTGATGGAGAGCATGAAACTTAATGTTTAGTCTATATCTTAAATTTAACCTTTATTTTTAAAGGTAAGGCATAAATCTTCAAGGAAGGTGTATGCTATGAAGCTCCTGAGCAAGTTTGAGATGATAAAAAGATCAGATTCTGCATTCTTCTGGGAGGAAAGGGATATTATGGCTTTTACTAATAGCCCCTGGGTTGTTCAGGTATGGTTATACTGCTGCTAAAATGTCAAATTTCAGGATGGCTTGCTTTATCATTGCATACATCATAATGTAACCAGGGAGCTAGATATACTTTTATTAGGTGCTTTTTTTTGTAATTTTTTTTCCAAAGGTGGCCTTTCAGCTAAAAGGGGTATTACAGAAGAATTTTTTGTAACAGAGCTCTACCTGGCTTGGCAAGAATTCTTTGGGACTGCCTAGTATGTGTGACAATTATTCACATTGGCATTTAAAAAATAAAAAACAAACCTCTCATCTCCCCTTCCCCCACTCCCCAACTAGTTGAATGAATTTCTACTTCTGTTTTCTGTAGTAAATGTGTTCAGCTGCAACCTTTGCCCAACAGTGCCTTCCCTGGTCTGTCTTCAGTGTTGTACCTCAAATTGGTGGTGATAAAGATAAATGCTTAACTGTAACAAGCTCAAGTGTGAGCTTCTCAAGCATTACTGCCTTTGGAAATATAAGAAGTGAGTCCTGCAAAAACATGTACACAAACTTGTTTAGTGTGCATTAGTTTTTATGTAGTTGGGGCCTGAATGATGAAACATTCTGGATAATTAATCATAATCTGGATCTGGAATATTTAAACCTCCCCTGCATGATATTCGAAAGATACTACTGTAGCTTCCCAAATAATGATTATCTAGAAATGTACTTGTATGGTTTTTCAAGCGAGGTCTGAAGTGAAGAGCCATTAATCCATTGGTACCACTTGCCTTGAGTATTCCCCTGACAACAGGGATAGAGAAAATATTATTATTATTTTTTTAACAATTAAAATGCACTTTTTAGTTAGTGAAGTTTGCCACAGGAATACTGAAATTGCAGAAGTGTCACAAGGACAGTACAGAATATTAAGAAAAAATGTATAGGTATTTTTTGCATTGCATCTGTCCAGTTTGCATGGGATTAAAATGCAGAGCCACCTCTTGGATTTTTTGGTATATTTGTTTAAAAAAAAGTTTCAATGTTTCTATACAATAAATATGATAATCCTAATGATGCAATAGGCAAAGATTTCTTAGACATTCTTCAGCACAGGTAATCTGATTTGAAAGTTTGTCTAACTCTATCTCAACTACACCTGGTCCAATAAAAGAGGTAATCCTAAGAAATCCCTTGCCTCTTGCATAATTTCTGGACCATCATTTCTATAATATTATGCTTATGCTACCAGTCCTAAAGATAAATTATAGAAAAATATGCATTCAAAGAGAAAGTTGGCAGATATTTTGAGGTATGGTATTTCTTCACTTACAAATTTGTTAACTAATAACGTTGCCCATCTCAGTTACCTTGTGATTACTTTTGCAGGTAAACAGTCTTTTGAGGATGAGTTTAAGACTTGTTGAGCTAGCTTCTCTATTTCAATCTATCCCATTTTAAGTCCCTTTAACAGGGGAATGGGTAGAATATCTGTCAATTACTTTTCAATGTGTCACGTAATTTGTGCCAAGATTCATTGGATTAATGCACTTGAGTGGGGGGGGGGGGGGGGGTTGAAGTTAGGTTTTAAAGAGAAATAGATCATTCATTGACTTTTTTATTTTATAGTTATTTTATGCATTCCAAGATGACCATTACCTGTACATGGTGATGGAATACATGCCTGGTGGGGACCTTGTGAATTTAATGAGCAACTATGATGTTCCTGAGAAGTGGGCAAGATTTTATACGGCAGAAGTTGTTCTTGCGTTGGACGCCATTCATTCTATGGGCTTTATTCACAGGTATGTATATAAATAATATAATTAAAATAAAGGTGTCTGATCTTTACATTGTCAGACTTTTTAAGAGCATGTCTAAGAACTAGTTAGGGTATGGCTAGACAAACTAGTTGATACAAGATAAATCAGCTGCTCTACTAATTTTCATATTATTACCTGATGGTAAATAGAAGCTAAACCAGTGGTTCTCAGCCCTGTTAGGCTCAAATCACCTCTCACAAAATGCTGTTCTTAGCTTTCTTTCATTTCTGGACTATAGAAAATAATAGAGCAGTTCTTTTGTTGCAAAGAACTTGAAAAGGCCATGATAGGTCAGAACACTTTAGACACTATGAATTTCTATTTGAAATCTGAGTTTAACCTCTGAATAATATATAGGTGTTTGTATATCTAAGTGTGGCACCTTTTAAAAGCGTCTTATGGCATTTTGGTTGAAGACAGCTGAGCTAAACCCATAGTAACTGCTGTCGGTGACAGTAGGGTAAAATACTACAGTTTTTCATGTCCACTTTTACCTCACGGTGATTAGATCCACTGCCAGTACTCTTGGTCTTCTTTAAAACTGCTGCTGGTATTCTCACTTAGGCCGTGTATAGACAAAATGATGGGCATGTGTGCACAACACTTTAAAGTGGGCTAAATGCTTTTGCACTGCTTTTAATGGTGTTGGTGTTTGCAGGCATTGGTGATGTATTGCACATTAATTCCAGGCAGCGTAATGCACCTTAAATGTTCTGGGGTGCAAGGAACTAAAACTCCTCTGAGGAGTTTGTTTGCTGCCCCTACAGCCATGGAGCAAAGTGCTGGGCTCCGTGCAGCTCAGGGGCTCTGCAGGAAGCCTTGCAGCAGCTTGGGAAGGCAGGCTCTGCCGGAGAAAAGTGGCAAGCCTTACTTGTGAAGGCGCAATGAATGTAATGAGTTACCGGTTTCTTTAAGGGTGTGTTGATAGGTGGTTCAGTATTTGTGTGTGCGCTCACTGAACTTGATTCTCCACTGTTTGTGGCTGCATTGTGTGCTGGGGCCATGCTTGTGCCCTGAGCAACAGAAATGCTCTTCAATGTTTTTTTTTATCCCCTTTGTTAGTGGTCATATGCTTATTAAACATTATTCAAACTCTATTTTTAATGCAGATCTGCTCGGAATACAACATTATTAATTTCCTTATGAGTTTTTTCTGTGACATTTTACCTTGGTGTAGTAGTTTCTGTTTCATGGATGACTGTGCATTTTCTCAATACCCACATGAGATGAGGTAACAGATAAGGAGCAGAAACGCAGAGAGGTTAAGATTTAAATTATCCTCTTGTGGATATGACATCCAGCCTTTTCTTTAGAGTGGGTGTCATGTCTTCATATAAAACTTCTTATTTTGTTCCGTAAGTGCACAGTATCCTATTTTCTGGAGTTTAATTGGCTGTAAAGACATCTTTTATATCATGGGCAATGGGTGAGATGGGCTATGAGAGATTCCTTTTGATCAAGGCAGTTTGAAATGGGTATAGCATTTATTTTGTGGTACAACAGGAAAAGAGCTTTTATGGTCTTTCATGATTGAGGGGCTCATTGGTTTTGGCAAGGGCATAGTGAGTTCGTTGAGTGAGCAGGAGGGGGAGCATGGGGTTATGCTGACCACAGTGGGTTTGGGAATTGGTGGGAAGAGGGAGGGTGGTGGCAGGGTAGCATTTGGAGAACATGGGTGAGGGAAAGGGAAGGAGGGCTTGACTTAATTTTTCCCAGGCAGTGGCGTTGGCAGTAGCCCTAAAGCCTGGCTTCCTAGGAGTTAACCTTGGTGTCCCATTCATTCCTTTGCCCCCTCCCCACTTTGGGGGGTGGCAGGGAGTCACCATGCTGGTTGCTCAACCCCCTTACCCCAATATGTTTGGTGCAGTTCTTCCTCTGGCATGGCAGATTCCCCTTGCCTGGGGAGGGGGTGGGGGAATAGTGATTCTGGCACCTCCTCAGAGTAATTGTCTGGGGCTGGTACTAGACTCACCCTGCCCGTGTCACACTATTGGGTTCTGAGCCTGAACGGCATTTCCTAAGAGAAAACTCTCCAAGACTGAATTAAATGGATTGTAATGCAAGGATTATTTAGTCTGTGGAGTTTGGGTTCAAACAATTTTACCCAGAGTAATCCAGACTTACTGGTTTTTTGTTTTTGTTTTTTTCTTTTTCAGTACAGTACTTTAGCAAAAAAGACTATTGCTATATGCTTCCTCTTCTGTCTTTAAGAAAAAAATTGGAATAGTCCAAGAAAATGTGTATAGTGTATGAGAGTTTGAAAAAAATGGAACAGGGCTTTATTTTGCTAATGCCGTCTTTTCTTGCCATGTCACATTGGAAGCATAGGTGGCTTTGCTGCTTATAGCAAATTCAATTACTTTATCAAATATTATGCAATTTTTTTTCTTCCTTTCAGAGATGTGAAGCCTGATAACATGCTGCTAGATAAGGCTGGTCATTTAAAACTAGCAGATTTTGGTACTTGTATGAAGATGAACAAGGTAAATTATACTTTAATTTTGAATTTAGCTTTGTCACTTGAAGAAAGCATATGCTGAAAATTGTTCTTTGCCTTCCATTATTTATTTCTCTATGTGGGTAGAATTTTTTTCCAAGATGCTTATCCTGGTTTTATTTCAGCACCTTGTAGCTGTTAAATTTAACCTCACAATATTCCTATGAAATAAGCAGGAACAAATATAGCAGTTTTATAGTTGGGTTATGAAGACACAGAGGAAATGCTACACAAAAAATTTGTGGTGTCATGAGAAACAAATCCCAGGTCTCTGGATTCCTGGTACTTGCCTTAATTACAAGGTCGTCGGTCAGATATGTACAAATTTCACCAGTGTGGAAAGTGGAAAAATTAGTTGTTGAGCTGGACATCAGGATTTCAGTAGCACAGGCACTAGTGATATTCATATCTTGGATTTCCTACTGGTTAAGGAGAAATTGCTATTCATGCTGAAAGCTCTTTCAGACTGAAGCTGCAGTCTGAACTAGTCACAATAACAGTGAGGCAAAAAAAAATAGATGTGTGTGTAGATGTATGCGTGTGTGCACTCATGCGTGCGCGCACACACACATGCTCCCCTCTACCTCTCCCTCTACCGTTCTGTGTGTGTGTATTTTTTTTCTCTGTTATTGTAACTAGTTCAGACTGTAGCTTTAGCTTGAGACGTTCTTGTGTGTGCATATATACGTACCTACCTACCTACCTGAAGAAGAAAATATGTATGTGCACAAGAACTTTGGTGGGGAAAAAAAGACCAAGGTATCTTAAATATACTGTTTTTTGTTCGTTTGTTTTTCAAGTGTGAAATTGAAATTCTTCTCTTCTAAATTCTTTATTTTCTAAGCTCTTTAGCTTAGACCAGGGGTGGGCAGAGTCTAGCCCGTGCCAGATTGGGCCCACAATGGACACCATTTTCCAGCAGCCCCTGTGGCAGCAGCTCCTTCTAGCTGCTGCTGCTGGACCCAGCCCTGCTTCCTGGGCACTTCAGCCCATCTGTCTCACACCCACCACTGGGGGCAGGACCCATGTGGGTAGGGTGTGTGGCTGGGATGGGGCTGTGGCTGTGGCTGGGGGTGAGACCAGCAGGCAGGGCTGAGGAGACCCCAGGATCTTGGGGTGGGGGCAGAGCCATGATCTACTGCCCACACTCCCCTTCAACGGGCACAGGTTCTGTGGGCAGGAGCTGCTGGGAAATGGAGTCTAACCACCAGCTGGATCTGTCATTTTGTCCACCCGTGGCTTAGACTACAGAGTAAACTCTTATCTGCCTCTAGGGATTAAGTTTCTCAGTAGGACAGAATGGAAATACTCTGATCTCTTTCTGAACCTTCCCCTAAGAAAGCAGTATTATTAACAACTAGTTTTATCCCTTTCTAAAAATGAAGAGAAAGAAAGCCCCTTGCACCCATATCTTAATGATTCTTTTTTTCTTTGTCACGTTTCTCAGTGGTTTATTCCTGTTTACCTTAAGGAAACAACTGTATGGATGGGCATGACAGAACATAACGAGAGTTAATTGTACACCTAGTGCAAGATACCAAGACAGGAGAAAGCATATTTTAAATATGTGAGAAAATACTTTTGGCAGAAGTGGATTTCTGCAGAACATTACGTGTCTAAGGATGCATTTTGCACTCCAGTGCAAAGTCCATGGGAATCTTTCCATGGACTAGAATAGTTCATGGATCAAAGCCAAAGTATAACATTCCTGTTGCTTGCTTTTCTTTTCTTTCTTTTTTAAAAGCTACGTCTAGCAGCCTAGTTAGAAACTGGGAAGAAAAAAATTGATTCCGCTGTAGTCTCCTGTGTAAAGAAAAAAGTGATTTGTGTTTGTCCTATAAACTGTGCAAAGAGCAGTATAAAAAGTGGCTAATTATACTTTGATGGAGTTCTTTACATCTGCTAATATGCTACTCAGTGCTCTGAAGGACAGAAATAATATTGTTTCCAAGAGATATAATTCTGGGATTGTGCTATTTTCTCAATGATTACATGCTATTCTAGTGTTTGGTTATGGTGTTGGTGAAGTAAAAATAAACAAACTCTTTAAAATATTTTCTATATCTTTTTTCTGTGACAAACAGTCAGGGCCCAGGGTGCTACTTATTTGCCATACCTTTGCTCAGCAAAAAATATTTATAGTTAGCAGTTGGGTTAAAGAATCTCTTTTATTCTATTATAGTGGTTCTCAACATTTCTGGACTCAAGAGCACCCCTGGATAGACTCTAGGCACCTGTAGGAAAATGCTAGCTCTTAGTTTTCACTTTTTTTCTGTAGTCCAAAAAAAATCAGACCAGTTCTTCTACTGCAAAGAACTAAAAGACCACAGTTATGGATCTCTGTTTGAAATCTTTGGTTTATCTTGTAAATAATGTTTGCACACCTAACAGTGCTAACATTGTGTGGCACCCCATAGCACCCTTGAAAGGATTTCAGGACACCCCAGGACACTGGCATCCTGGTTGAAAATCAGTGTTTTGTTGAAATATACTTGAGGCCACAAAAATATAAAATGATTCCCAAAGTAGTGTTTCAAATTAGGTAAACATTTGCTGTTCCATGTACAAATTGATTGGTTTATCAGACAATACCACATATATTAAAAATTGTGTATCGTTAATCCTATGGATGTAAAATGTAGGGCATACCTTCTAAATGCATTCTTAGACATTTGATGAAAAACTTTGTGAAACAGCCTTAATAAATAAATAAATGAGATATTCAACAACATCTCCTTAGAAAGCCAAATAAAACACCATGTGCACAAGCTCAAAAACATTAGCATGGATTGTCTTAGATAAATAGTTTGTTTTAGTGGAGTTTTTCAGTCGTGAATTTGGTTCTGTGTATTAAACTTAATTTGCTTTTGTCAGGTGGCTTATTAGATAAACCTAAAATTGATGGACATGGATGTTAACGTTGAATTTTATTTCTGAACTGCAAGTACCAAGAAAAGAAAAAAACAATTAAATTCAACTAATTTATCTTTGGCATAGGCAAGTCCTATAAATGTGATGCAGTGTCCAGAATACACGTAATTTTAATGGGAAAAGATTGCACAAGCAATCCTTGAATATAGTGGAACTTGATAAAATATCATTTTTGAGATGAGCAATAATTTTTTCCTTTTATAAAACGTCCTTTTTAAGAATACTGTGCCCTGTCCTGTGGAGTATAGAATTATCCCTTAGTTATATGACTAACTGGGATGGGCAAGTGGTTACTGATTTGAATCTTATATTCTATAACGGGTCAGTAACTTTTTCCCATGGGGCAAGGTGGGGAGGGGCAGAGAGAGTGCAGAATGGCTTGCCTTTGGTTGGCCGTAGGCAGGCTCTAGGACCTGACTGCTGGTGCTGTTTTTCTTTGCCCAGCTGTGGTGTGGCATACGCTGGGAAGCCCTGGGTACTTCACTGTGGCGTGGCACAGGCAGATTGCCCCCTCTCCAAAAGCTCTGGCGTTCAACTGTGCTAAACTGCTCCTAATTTCCTACGGCTTTTCCTACTTCATGACGCAATTAGCCATAAAACATTCCTTTTTCCCTTTATTCATTTTGGAGTTTTTCTACCAAGTATTTTAGTTATAGTATCATTTATGGCTTTTTGTGCTTTATTGTGGATTGTAAGCCCGGAGTTTTTTCTTTTCCTAGCATAAAAACATAAATGGATCAGAAGAAGATATAGTATTTGTGCATTCAAAGATATATTTTAGTGATGAAACGCTCATTTCCGTCTAGTATTTTCAGAGCAGCCATTGTTAAGGAAAGATGTAGAGGATGAATGGCTGCTTAAAACAGTGGTTCTCAACTTTTGGACCAGGACCCATTTGCAAACATCGATGGCCAGTGCCGATCTGCAGCCCCTTGCAGGCTGAAACTGCCATTCTGCAAGGGAAACGCCGCAGTTTTCCCACTTCTTTCTCCTTTAAAGGATAATCCATTTTTAAAGTTTTGTTTGTGACCCCTTCATATATTCTTGCAACCCACTTTGGTTCATGACCCACAGGTTGAGAAACAGTGGCTTAAAATATTGTCCAATTCTTGTACTTGATATTTAGGCCCAGCTGTTTTTGTTTCTAACTATAGGAAGGTATGGTACGATGTGATACAGCTGTTGGAACACCGGATTACATTTCCCCTGAAGTATTGAAATCCCAGGGTGGTGATGGTTACTATGGACGAGAATGCGACTGGTGGTCAGTTGGAGTTTTTTTGTATGAAATGCTTGTAGGTGAGTAACAAGATGATGAGAACTTTATAGAAGTACAGTTTTCTGTACCACCTATTTGGCTTTATATCCAAATCAAAATGTTATACTGCTGAAGTATTTTATTTTAAAACTCTAATAATTTTAAAACTCTACTGCCTTTGGTAACTGGGAGTACAGTTTAAGCTGCATAGCGCAAGCCTATTTGGCAGTCAGGAAATTGCCTGACGTGTGGAGGTTAGGTAATCCTCCAAGCCCTGAAGCTAAAAGCCTTATTTTCCTAGCCTTTTTTTACCTTTACAGCCATGACGCACTGCTGTACAGCACAGACATGGGCAGGGAGTGGCTTAAGTGCTGGAATTGTGAATAACAATGCAGCAGGCCTCAATCAGTTGTGAACTGTTGAGCCACTCTTGTTCTAGGCAGAATTGACCAGCACACCTTGATTTAGTCTAAATGATGCCTTTAGTATTGAAGCAGACTTAGTGTGTTGCGGCCATGATAATCCCTGAGTACTCGGAGAAAGAGCACTTTTTGTTGAAAAGCTTGCCCAATAGCTCTCCCAACAGCACAGTTGGCCCAATAAAAGATGACAAAAAATCTTTGCCTTTAGTATTGAAGTTAATAAGGTGTGGCAAATAGCTAGGGTGATTTGCATGATTTAAATAGCTGCCTTTATTGCCTGTTGATGTCTTTAGTGACTTACTCTGTTCTTCCAAAATGTTAGTACTGTATGGTGGCACTGGACATGCATCAGTGGCATTTTTTAATGGGCTCTGTGGTAATGCAGGGGCAGGCGATTATTTTGGCTGGAGGGCCACTGAATGAGTTTGGTGAGCTGTCAAGGGCCGTATGGGTTGTCCACCTCTTGACAATTGTCCTGCCCCCCCAGTCACCATCTTGGGACTGGAAATTATCTCATACCCCTGACCTTTGCTACTGCAAGTCCTTCCCCTTGCTCCCCTGAAATGCTCCTTTTGGGAAAAGCTGGTTGCCATCTTGGAACCAGAAAAAACCCCACCACCAAATCATACATTAAAATCAAACACCTACTATAACATATTTTAATGTTATTACTAAAAATATTTTTGTCATGGTTTGTATTTGCATAGTGTGTATAGAGATGATTGCATAACAACTCAAAAATAAAGTCTGAGTTTTGTATATTGTGTATGGTAGTTGAGGGTGTGTATGTGGTGGAGTAGGGGGGTGTGTATGGTGGGGATGTTGCGGGGGCAGTAGGGTATGTTGAGGATTTGTGTATATGTAGGGGGGTTATGGGGACAAGGTGTGGGAGTGTGGCTTTTGTGAGGTGAGGGATTGTGACAGGTTGTGTGGACCCTCCACATCCTCCCTTCTCATGGTGAACAGCCCCTGCCAGCAGCAGCAGAAGCACTAGTAGGCAGGGAGTGCTCATGTTTTGTGCAGGTGCTGCTGCCTGGTGGGGCATGGCTTTGGCCAGTGCTGCATGTGGGGGTGAGGAACAGTCTGATGGAGCCGCCTCTATTGTGGGGGCTCCGCGTGGTATACATGCAGCTTCCACACTCACGTGGCACTGGGCAAGCCCAAGGCACTGGAACCTACTGCCTTTGCTGCTCTCTGCCGCTTAGGTCCCGGGACTCTGCCAGAAGTGGGGGCTGGGAAGGAATCTGGCTCCAACACATGGGGCTTTCTCAGTGCCACGGGCTGCATGTGCACTGCGCAGAGCCCATGCAATAGAGCCAGCAAACCTGGGATGTGCTCCTTGCTGTGATGTGCAGTGTTGGCTGGATCCATGTGCTGCTGGGCAGCAGCACCTCTGGGCATGAGGGCCCCTGCCTGCTTGTGCTCCTGTTGCTGCCATTGTGGGGGAGGGTGTGGGGGTCCCCACACCCCACCATTATCACTCATACCCACACCCTGCCCATCTGAGCTCTGTGCTCCTGCCGCCCCCTTGGGCGTGGGCTCCATACTGCCACCAGCCACAGCCCCAAGCTCCCTGCTCCTGCTGCTTCCCTACCTAGTCCCCAGAGTGAGCAGAAGGCTGGGGAAGCCAAGCAGGTCCCCCGGCAGCTGCAGCAGTGGCTGCTGCAGCCCTACCTATGACCTGCTGCTGGCTGGCCTGGGCCCTTCCCCCAAGGATGGGAGTGACGCGTCTTTATTGGCTGTGTTGGGGGGAGGGAGGGCGGTGTATGTATGTGTTCCCCTCGCTCCCACCCCCATGGGTGGAAGGGCTGGGCAGGGTACTATTAATTAGCAGGTGCCAACAGGCTGTATTTTGCCTGTCCCCATGTTAATGGTTGCCAGTCAAGTTAAAGGGAGCGTTAGGAAGAATTCCTAATAGAATAGTTTAGAATTGGGAGCTCATAACCTCTGGTGATTTTCCCCACCCCCATTTCATATTAAGTCAATCATGCTGTGGATGACTTG